GACTAGTAAACTCTACATGAGGTTAAAACTAACAGAGTGTTTTATTTAATCGACTAGTAAACTCTACATGAGGTTAAAACTAACAGAGTGTTTTATTTAATCGACTAGTAAGCTCAACATGAGGTTAAAACTAACAGAGTGTTTTATTTAATCGACTAGTAAGCTCAACGTGAGGTTAAAACTAACAAAGTATTATTTAATCAACTTGTAATTTTAACATATATATTTCTTTCAAAATAGTAACTAATGTAAATAAAAAATTTATTAATTACCGAGGGCTCGAAGACCATTTTTATAAAATATAAATTCTCAAGAGATTCATCTGTTCCTTTAAAACGAGTAGATACGTTCAGTGACCAGCAAGTTAATTCTGCTAAGAATAAAAACTAAGTTGGTGTTGAATTTGAACTTACAAAATAGAACTTTTTGTATTGTAAGACACACTCAAACACATACATATAAATCAACTTGAGTACATGTAAAGTCTTAACTCTCAAATTACTGTCCTGTTTTATATCGTTCACTATGGGTGGGGGTCCATATTTTAAATGATATTAAACAAATTTAACACTTTGAGTAAAGAAATGACAACGAAAGAGTTATTTTTCCAGGTAAAATAAGTAATATTAATTAGCAGGACTGAATGCGATGTTGAAGGTAGTTTTCTTTCAATTTATGCGTGTGATCCACCTGTTTTAAGGATCCTGTAACCAAGAAATGCTGTTTGAATAAGTCCGTAAATAAAAATATATTTTTAGTAGTCTCTTTACCTTGCTTTCATGTCATAGAATTTATAAACAAATTTTTAGTATATTTCAAATCTTTTTAGTATATTTCACTAAGTAATTTGGTGTCAAATCTGTTTCTTGCATGCTGCTGAGATAGAAAATAAAGGTAAGTTATTTCACACACGGTATTAGCTACTATCTCCTACACATTCCCTAATCGATCACGACTTGATAAACTTGAACGTTTTCAGAATCTTTTCTCTGTGATTTAACTACTTTTCGTAACCACAAACTTCTTAACTGTCATTGAAGAATCGAAAATTGGTGTTTGTTACTTTCACGACATTCAGTATACTATTCGATGACAGGAAGAAAATTCGAAACCGAATTCGCAGAACACAATAAAAAAACCTTACCCACTGTTTTCCTACCATTGCAACAAATACAAAAAAATCTTAGTATATCTATTAAAAACACAGTAATTTTAAACAAAAAAACCAAACATAGACAAATGAAAAATCAAGGAATCCATCTTAATTGAACAAAACAACCCTGGGGTGCCAATATATCTCTTCTAAGTCTTGCAACAATATCCGGTCATGTGACTTGATTGTTCCATACTGTATTTATATATATATATATATATATATCTGTGTCAGTGTAAACTACATGTACCTGATGATGACAAAACCTTATCGAAACGTTGTACATTTGTTGTTATGTTAAACTTATATTAAAGTTTTTCTTTATTACCCATTCAAGCCGTCTCCAGGCATTATTTTCAGTATACTATACTTTTGCTCAATAAGCCATCTAGCGGATAAAACGTTTTACATAAAGAAAAACTACAAAAAAATAGCCTTATCGCAAAATTCACGTTCTGATTGGACGCATGGTCGATGTGACGTCATACAACCTGCTAATAAATGCGCCTAATTCTACTGTTTTCGTTTTCTGTATAGAAAGAAATGTGCACGGACACTTATAACAAATTGAGGATTAAAGTTAGTTACCATATATATATATATATATATTAATTAACCCTTTTACAGAGTATTCTGTTTTGCTAAACAAACAAATTATTGTGAACTTTATTCCCTGGTTTTTCTCTCTTATAGAATGTGCTTATCCAGCAAGTGGTCTATTCTTCAGGGACTATTACAACTAAGTGAATTGGTTTTATATACACGTGTTTAATACATGATGTTCTATAATCAAATAAAGCTGTCTCCAAACAGTGTTCCAGTGACCTAGTGGTTAGCATGTTGTTCAGTCAAATAGTTCAGAGTTCGAAACGTGATGCTCCTGAACACTGAAGGTCAATCACGTTATTCGGGTTAACTCGCTGCCTTTACTCTGGTTAGTACACCTAAATCCCGAGAATCTCTATCCTGCCCGTTCAGCCCACGTGTACTTAAGTTGACGCTCAGTCTAGAAATTCCAATTACAAATGCTTGTCTAATTCAAAGTGTCTCTGTGGAAGCTACGCAGATTTTCCTGGCTCAGTAGTAATTCTGAAGGCTTATAACGGTAAAATCCGGGCTTCGATACTTGTGAACACAGCACAGATAGCCCATTTTGTAGTTTTTTGCTTAACTACAAACAAACAGACAAAAGCAGTTAATACGTAAAGAAGTAATTATTCCAGTGGAAACTTTCTAAAAATAACCAATGCTTAAGTTCATAACGTTTGTCATGCCGTTGCTGTTATTACAAAGTTAATGGTATACACGTGTATGGTTCTCTTTTCTGGTCAATACTTAGGTTTAGACGTTCCTTTTAACAGCTGAAATCAGGACTTAGTTACAATTTAAAATTCACATTGCGTATAGAAAATCTTTAATCTCAGATCATTAACTCATTTCACCCTCGAATTAAAACCTAATCTGTACACGATTTACACAGACATTAGCACCAATAGTTTAATCAACTAAACTGTCTAAGGAACAGCCCCCGCTTCTTATATTACTTGGAAATGTTTCGTTTTTAAGTGATGATAAGGTAAAAAGTAACTACCTCCTGGAAGATACTATAGTAGTAATTGTTCCCTAAAGTAATGGAGAAAACCATAAGATGATGAGTCTGTGTTTGTTTTAAAAAAAAGTTCATGTTTTCTTTGCTTGACTGATTCTTTTTTGTCTGTTTTTATTCGATCGCCAAGACCGAATTAGCCTTGATGCATGACGCCATCAAGCTTCTCGCCGTCACTCTTCAACACATCAACCGCAGAGGACAAGATATCGACTTCCCTGTCGTCTCGTGCGAAACAGAACAACCTTGGCCACAAGGACATTACTTTGTGAGCTACATGAGGATGGTATGAGGGATAGGTATTAAGGAAAATCACGTAATCATAACAACTTCTAACTAGATTCGACAATAACTGTATATATATAATTGAAATAATTGTGGAATTTCAAACATACGGGGATACATAAACAGAAGGGGATATATAACAAGTAATACAACTAGATGCTAAACGTGTTGCTTGTACAAAACATTTTCCCTGAACATACAAGATACACTATTTTGTATGTTTTCATTGTGTTCATGTTTATCAATTGTTTAATGTTGTTCTGTCTTGTATTACTCCTTACATTTCAGTCAATTTGTTTTCATGTTCACCAATTGTGTAATGTTGTTCTGTCCTGTATTACTCCCCACATTTCAGTCAATTTGTTTTCATGTTCATCAATTGTGTAATGTTGTTCAGCCTTGTATTACTCCCCACATTTCAGTCAATTTGTTTTCATGTTCATCAATTGTGTAATGTTGTTCTGCCTTGTATTACTCCTCACATTTCAGTCAATTTGTTTTCATGTTTATCAATTGTTTAATGGTGTTCTGTCCTGCATTACTCCTCACATTTCAGTCAGTTTGTCTGGTCGTCTTTTATCCTCCTAATTTTTACATAAGCCCATACAACCTCTAGAATATTCTATCAGGAGTTTGTGAAAGCCCAGCCATAGTGGCTTTAGTGTTCCACCGGCCATTTTGCCGTCAAAATATTATTTCACCACATTTGTCCTATGCTGGGGATTATTGTCGTGCTAGAAGATTAACCTATTCTTGATCAAGCCTGTGTCTTGGGGAATGGTGTTATAGATGATAATCTGCCTCTACCTGTTAGCAGTCAGGGTGCCATCATTATTTTGTAGCTCGCCAACAGCGATGAATGAGATATAGATAGACCCAAACTTGAACTGATCCCCCACTATGTTTTACTGTACCTGTACTGTGTTTTGGCCAAATAGCATATAGTCATCAAAGTAGCACAACAAAGCAGGAATGAAAATATGATTAAAAAACCTACAAATGACTACTGTAATATTATTCTATATTAATAATTAATATTTTATGTGAAACTGATAAAACAAAAATGACCCTTGCCTAAGAAAGTCATTGCCCTCCCACTCACCTATCCAAGATACTTCGTAACTAACATAACGTCGTATTGTGATCATTCTCATCGTAAGCGGACTTATAAATGACAATTGAGAGGTACGACTTGTACTTGTATCAATGATAGAGCACTGACTTTGTTAGTCATGGACCCCAGGTTCAAGTTCTGAAGGTACCTTTCGCTTATCGGTATTTCATGTAAAATATTAGTTATTAGATAAATTACACACCAGTATTCACAAACCACTCCAGTTTTTAACATAGAAAAACTGCACTTATTGTTGTTCGAAGAAGTTAATGTCAAATATTCTTTGTATATAAATTATTTAACTGAATATCTGCCTGATTTTTTTCTAAGATAAAGTTGCTGTTGTTGTTTTGTTTTAACTATTTCTCCTTGCTGTAATTCTTTTTATAGTTTGAAATCAAATATTAATAAGTAGGATTAAACTATTTGAAAGTGCGTCCAACGTTGTGGTCTTGTCCATTTTTTATCTGTACATTGTCTCAGATTACCACCAGGGGCTTAACTGGAGAAATAAAGTTTGACAAGTACGGATTTCGTTCCGACTTTAATCTGAAGCTGAATGAACTTACTCAAGAAGGACTACGTCACGTAAGTTTTGATTCGTGTTAAGCCTTTAGAATAAAAAAACACCAAACATTAGCTATCGGGAACTTTTAATACTCAACAACTCGGGGAAAACGAAATTTTTCCAAACATAATATGATTTCTTTACTTTCAAAATGCTTTTGTAAAGATAGAAACAATTGCATATGTAGAATTATGTGTTAGTAAGTTCTTACACGTGCACATAGTTTCTGGTAAGTTCTTACACGTACGTATAGTTTCTGGTAAGTTCTTACACGTACGTATAGTTTCTGGTAACTTCTTACACGTGCACATAGTTTCTGGTAAGTTCTTACACGTACGTATAGTTTCTGGTAAGCTCTTACACGTACGTATAGTTTCTGGTAAGTTCTTACACGTGCACATAGTTTCTGGTAACTTCTTACACGTGCACATAGTTTCTGGTAAGTTCTTACACGTACGTATAGTTTCTG